CTGAATGACAGATCCCAGTGATGAGATGTAGATGGAGAAGAGAAGCGGTCCCAGCACTGAGCCCTGGGGCACTCCAGTAGATAGATGATAACAGTGATGGGAAAAAACATGTTTCTGAATGACAGATCCCAGTGATGACATGTAGATGGAGAAGAGAAGCGGTCCCAGCACTGAGCCCTGAGGCACTCCAGTAGATAGATGATAACAGTGATGGGAAAAACCATGTTTCTGCATGACAGATCCCAGCGATGAGATGGAGATGGAGAAGAGAAGCGGTTCCAGCACTGAGCCCTGGGGCACTCCAGTAGATAGATGTTGTGTCTTAGACACTTCACCTCTTCACAACACCCTGAAGGACCTGCTGAGAGGGAAGACTCGAATCATTGGAGTGCAGTTCCTGAGATGCCCTTCGTCAAGAGGGTTGACAGGAGGATCTGGTGGTTAATGGTTTAAAAAACAGCAGACAGTTGCAACAAGATGAGAAATGAGGATTTGGAAGCTGCTCTTGCCAGTATCAGGGTTTGAATAACTGAGAGCATGGCAGTCTCAGTGTTTATCAAGACTTCATGGTATTTTCAGTTTACTAGGTTTAGGGCAGTCAAGCTAAAGAGCTGTTATCTCAAGCCTCGTGCACACCGGGACAATTATCACGCGTGCTTATCACCAGCATTTTTCGAGACGTTTTTCGACACGTCTTTGTGTTCATACCCAAGCGTTTTTCCCTGGCGATGCGCCGGGTGAACGTGTAAATTCACTCCCTGACAGTAGATGGTGCTTATTGAAAAACAGAAACACCCCGGTACACAAGGTTTACGTTTCTGACACTCGCTTGTCACACAGAAGAAGAAGAGAGCCAGTATTTACATACTTGCCAAAACCATTCACACACTTTTTCCCTCTTATCAAGATTGTTGTGGCGTTTTTCATAAAGTTATTTGTGTTCAGACACCAAAGAGACCAGCAGCCCTACATTAATCTTGCCTCGTTGCATCTTCTTCTTCGTCTACTTACTTCCTCTTCGTCGACTTCTTCTATCAATGTGTGCTCGGCAAGACCTTTTTGTGCTTGAGCACCAAGTACTGTAACTTCAGCAGCTGCAAAATCAAGTCCCGCCCTCCATTTTTTCTTGTAGCCATTTTACTCATATTTACGTCACAAGAACAGACCATCACAACTTCCGGTTAATGTCGACTTCAAGCAGTGGCCTAATGGTTAGAGAGTCGGACTGTAACCCAAAGGTCGCAGGTTTAATTCTCAATAGGAAAATTTGGGTAGGTAAACAAAAGCACCAATCTCATTGGTCGAACAGTTTTTAACGGGCCAAAAAAAATTCCCAAATACAAATTACGCTTTTACGGCTTGCTTTTTGCGTGTCGGTGTGCATACTCACATTGGCACCCTTTATTTAGTCACGACTCACGAGTTGTTGAATGTCGACGATAATCGTCCCGGTGTGCACGAGGCTTCAGTGACCTGTGTTCATATCTGATCCTGACCGTTGCGCTTCACTGTGGAAGCCGCAGCACGATTACTTATTCATAAACAGTGGTTGTTGTGCAGGGGGCCATTAAAGGACACGAGACTTGAGATAGCATTGCATTACCTACTCATTTATTATGAATGGAACCAAGGACGATCACTCTCTGCTGTAACTGCAAAAATAGATGCACTTGAGAAGCGCTAAAGTGCTGCGGTGAATGATTCGGGACCCAGTCAGAATCTGAAAGCGGAAGCAAAAAAATGATTGACAGGCTACCCTTAGATTTTTTTTTACTTTCTTAATGCATGATCCTGGTATAATTATTGTGTGTGATTCATTGCTCTATGTTATAAAAATTAAATAAAATTGATTTAGAAATGGAGCTATTTTAGCATTGTTGAAATGCTATTTTAAATTTTGTCAATATTTTAAATTAGATTTCACTTTTGTATTTTCCTTTTGTCATTTTGTTGTGTGTTTTGTCATTATTAGTAGTTTTTTTTTTAATGCCAACATAATTTTATTTTTAGTTAATTAACTTTTTGTTATTTTAGCACATAAACTAAATGAAAATTGGTCTAAATGTTAGCTGAACTATAACTATAGGCAACTATAGCTGAAATAAAATAAGTTTACATTTTTTTTTAAATTATATCATTTCAGTTTTTAGTTAATAACCCTAATGATAATTCACTTCATATATTGTAAAACTTCATGAGCCATTGCAAAAGTAAACATCTCCTAAACTACTGTATTCTGACATTTAAAATGATTTTATTGATTTATAATAATGATCTTGGCCTCTATTCATTGGAACACAAGTAGTTCACTGCATGAATGTCTCGAGGAGGGTTAAATGGAGAAAAGCGGGATGGGAAGTGTTGCTTATTTTTAAAGCAGCATTAGTCACTTGCTCTTGATCATGGAAAGAGAAAAATGCCCTTATGACTTAATCATCCTTTAACAGTTTCCATATAGAGCGTCTGGGCTCCACATCACAGTGTCACGTCTGGATATAATCAAACCTTCTCTCTATCGGTTCTTCACACGCTCTCTCTCACACACAGGCCTTCAAACACACGTCATCTTACGCTCCGGGTTCCCAGATTAAAGGTGAAAACTCTTGTTGTTTTTTTATTAACATAATTTTACACATAAAACAAATGATTGTACATGGAGCAGGACGATGTTGAGATGGGTCATCCCTCTCTAGGACAGGCTTTTCCTCATGGAATAAATGAATCATGACTGTGTCTCTACATCAATTGCACCGGTAATCCACACTGAACCCACACCAGACGTCATTAAAGTGCAAGATGTCTTTTGTCTTTTGCTGAGGATCTTTCACATGTGAAAAAAAAAAAAAAATCACAGATTTCGATTTAAAGTCCCTCTGTGTCAGTTTTATGGATGACTAAAAGATGTTCCATGAATGATGTATAAAACACTTTTTTGTGCTAATATTTTAAGGAACATTAATAAAGACCGGATAACTGTGAATGAACGTTCTACTAATGTTACTGGAAGAAGGTTTGTTTATAACTTTGAGAGAACCTTTCCAGAACGTTCCCTGTTAGCTGTGTTACTCAATATGTGTTTTCCGGATGAAGCCAGAGGAAGATACTCTAATCGGGTGAGTTATATTTCTCATACACACATCATTATGTCCTTCTCCTAATTACACTCGAACAAGGAATCTGGCATGCAAAAGACAATTAGGGCTCATAGATTTTAAACCACTAAATCAGTCAAGTACAGTTGTAAATTTAAGCGCCTTTGGTGTGTGTGTGTGTGTGTGTGTGTGTTTTGCTTCAGTAAGGTGCAAATCATTATCAAGTGAATGGTTACCTTCATTAGTGCCGAGTTGTCTGAAATGCATTTGCTGTAACTGATGTGAAAGTCTTTTTCATCGATTGCACATTCACACACACACACACACACACACACACACTTACATGGTTTCCTACAGAAACACGACCAAAAATAGATCCTGACCATATAGAAAACAGAACACAAATCTTACAGTGTCAAGCGGCTTAATGGAAAGTCTATAACAAAGCATCACAAATCTGTCTCCTCCAAACAACACCTTCCACAACAGACTCTAACACTTAGTAATGAACATCACTTATACACAATTAGATTTAGATGTTGATCGCAACTTTAATATTTGGAAATTAACCTCAGCGCTGTAATCCGTTGTAGGTTATTGTTGTCTCATTCTATTATCATATCCAGCATTAGTGTAATGAAAGGGTAATGACTGATTTCAAATATTTTGTTTGCATCATATTTACATGCATGTGGAAAGAGGTGATTGTGTTATGCTTTTTTTGGGTCTATCTATCTATCTATCTATCTATCTATCTATCTATCTATCTATCTATCTATCTATCTATCTATCTATCTATCTATCTATCTATCTATCTATCTATCTATCTATCCATCATCTATATCTATCTATCTATCTATCTATCTATCTATCTATCTATCTATCTATCTATCTATCTATCTATCTATCTATCATCTATATCTATCTATCCATCTAGTGTGTGTGTGTGAGAGAGAGAGATTGTGTGTGTGTGTGTGTGTGTGTGTCTATTTGTGTGAGCTTTTGGGACAAATTTAAATCAGAGAAAATGTTGATAGTACAAACAAATAAACATGTGAGTGTGTGTGTGTGTGTGTGTGTTGTAGTTCTTCAAGTTAGCAATTATACATTTGCGTTTTTGTGATGTACAATATTTGCATCAGAGACTCAGACAAAGACCGAAACGTTTTCAAATAATATATTATTGCTCATTGCCAGAATGAAACAAATACAATAAATTAAAGCAACATTGCATGGAACTTTAAATAGACCATTAAAATGAAATATATTCTTTTACATATATATGCAAATTGTCTAGATTTACAGTTTAGTACAGAGTGCTGCCGGAAGCAGCTTGTCAGTCTGTAGGTAGCCAGCCGTTCTGAGCATGCTCAGTGCACAGTAGTAGATCTGAGAGAATCCCAGTTTAACATACACTTCATATTTTCACTCTATTACATCGTGGATAAAATACATAATACTGAATAGTGACATTATTGAATGCATCTGCCCCTCTTTACTCAATTTATAGCTAAATAGAACTTCGGGCAATGACAAAAAATAAATGTCGCACAGCAATTACATCTTCTCAAAGTTGGGCATACAAACAGTTCCCCCAGAAGGTAAGAAGTCACCGTTAAGTGCGGCTGCCCTGATTTGCATCAAAACCAGCATAAACACACACACACACACACACTCATTTCATTCTTTCAGGTTTAGTGTCTTTGTATGGTCATGCTAGAAGTATATCCTCCTTCATTTTGAGTGTACTTTAGGATGACATGCCAGAAAAGGTCTTTGGTTTGAGTGCATATCATGTAGTCTATAAGCTCCTTTAAAAAAAACAAAACACTGGTATTCTTTGCTTTTTGCAAAACCAATGTGTATCCTCTCATACCTAAAACATTTCCTCAACTCCCCTCGCCTGAAAAAGGCGGCAGACATCAGTCCCTTTCAGATGCAAAGCTCGTTTGAACTCATAAATAATCTGGAGTTATTGCCTTCGTGTTAGATCGTCATCTTTGTCATGATACCTCGATGATCTCCACGCTCCCGGAGAAACTGGACTGCTTTCCCAGCTTCCCAAATTCCTCGCTGCTTTGTGTTGTGTTAATACCCTCTTCAAACTCCATCTGGCAGCTGCGCCGCTTGTACTTCGTGTCCACTTGCGATACACCGCAAACTACCGCTTTCCCTTCCTCGAGCCAGCTGTTCTGAAAGTCCTGTGCTTCGTCCCTTCGGCGTACGCTTGGCTTTGAGGTGCCAGATTGGGCACTGCAACTGTAAGCCGTGAAAGCAGGACCAGTGCCAAAGTGCATTGGGTTCCCAGTAGATGGTGCCAAATTAGTGCCTAAGAACCAAGGGCAGTCACCCGTGGGTGTGATCGGGGTGCTGGCTTGATTCGAGCCTCTATGCGTGGTCCAGTTAGCAGATGAACCCAGCGGCAAGCTGAGGAAAGTAGGCGCCTTCAAGTTGGTCTCGCGAATGGGATCCTGCGATCTTGGCCCGCAGTTTGCCTTCTTCAGATTGAGGGAAAGAGTGGTGGTGGATAACCTCTCAAAGCCACCATTTTCCCACCTCTCTCTTTGCTGGATCGTTCTTGTCTTGTTAGTACACTGTGAGTCTGTAGGGTTTACCTTCGACGGGTGTTGACATACTCCGTTGCTCGTCTTCAGGCTGTCGAGTCTGCAGAGTTTGGGGATGTTTTCAGAGTCTGACGGAGAAGATTGCTGGTTTTGTCTCTCTGAGTAGACAGACTTGATGTCAAGGGAGAAGGAGCACTTGAGCCGTTTGTTTTGAAGGATTCGTTCGGTGGACAGGTGAAGGGAGCTTAGGTCTTTCCGCAGTGAGGTTGGCGACGGAGGCTTTATGGTGATCTCTGTCGTTTGAGGATTCCTCTGGTCACAGTGATCGCTCTCCATCTGGCGGACGTCTGCCAACTCTTCAGTGGGTTTCACTGATAACCTTATGGGGTCGCAAGGCAGACTCTTCTTCGTCTGCAAGCCTCTCTCGAACTCCAGAAGTTGACCCAAGAAGTTGAAATTTGGAGATATTGATGGCCGACGGTCCTTCACAAACCTACAGGAATGTCAGATGTGAAAAATTCAATTTAATGCCCGAATACAACTGGTTTCCTAAGTCCTGTTAAGAAACATTGGTAACACTTTACAGTAAGGTCCATTAGTTAACTACCTTAGTTAACATGAACTAAGAATGAACAATACTTCTACAGCATTTATTCATCTTAGTTCATGTTAATTTCAACATTTACTAACACATTATTAAAATCAAAGTTTGTATTTGTTAACATTAGTTAATGCACTGTGAAATAACAATAGAGTATTAAACTAATACAGTAACAAATGTATTGCTCATTGTTAGTTCATGTTAGTTAATACATTAACTAATGAACCGTATTGTAAAGTGTTACCGAAACATTAATTACATTTCTAAATGTCTTGATCTAGCTAGTAGACCAACATAGACTGGTAATCAGCATGGTTGACTAATGAAGGCTTGCTAAATAAGCTAGTTAAGAATACCAGCATCTCCTAATGGGAACCTGGATCCAAAACACAACATTTGACGCAAACAATATGTTGGTCCCCGTCATGGGATGCTGGTGTTTTACCAGGCTTACTAAACCAGCATTTTTTAGTTGCTGAACAATAAGACTATGCTGTTCCACCAGCTTGACCAGGAACAACCTTAGGCCTCTAAGCTGGTCGTTTCGGCAGTCCATAGAGTATCTGAACATCCAACGAGCTTTGGTTACCTGTAGGCATCATCTGAAGACAGGCCCATAGTTTTCATGATGTAGGCAATGGCAATGGTTGCAGAGCGGGATATGCCAGCCAAGCAATGGACGATGACTCTGCAGTTTGACACCTTGGCTTTGTCTGTGGATAGAGAGAAACAGCAAACTGGTCAAAAGCAGTTCCACTGTTAAACTGCACACAAAGCATGAGGCAATCTCATTCGCCCACCTCAAATGCTGACATCACTCATACCTCCCTCAAATGCTGATGCACAGATGGCTTGTGTTAGCCAAACCTCAAACCTGAGAGGATCTAACTTCTAACTTGCCTTCTAGAATACTCCATTGTCCATTCAGCAAACTTAAACTCGACTGGCCACTAGAGGCCGGCTCCAAAAGAGAGTCAATCCCATAGACCCCCATGTTAAAATGCCCAACTTTACAGCAGATAAAAACATGTTTACAGCCTAGTGCAAAAAGGGGTTTTGGTCTATATAGCTAATTTTGCCCTTCATGACGACTGTGAGGGGGGTGATTTCTTTTATAACTCATCCGTTTAAATTATATTAAGCCTTAAAGTTCTGCATAATCAAGGACAAGGCCACTTGAGTGACAGTCTGTTGGCGTCATGTCGCCTCTTTGCCCATTTATCCGTTTATCGCTTCAGAAACACTACGGATGACGTCACGGACATTACGTCCATATTTCTTTACAGTCTATGGTTCTTACCAATGAACTCGTTGGTTTTGTCCAACCAAGGAAGCAGCTTCTCACAGTAGCTGTCGTTGACGGGAATGCGCATGAAGTGGTTGTCGCTGATGAAGTCAGGTTTGGGACAGGTGTTGCTGGCATTCAAAACATATGTGATACCATTCTGAGTCATCAGTTCCTGTAAAAAGATGGAGGTTTTGCATAAGTCAATGCTGACAGAATAATTCCAACAAATTCCACAGACAGTTTCCGTGAGCAGATTCCAGCTGTATCGGAGTCTGTTTGTCATGCATGCTGAAGCTTTTGTAAATGAGAGATATGTAGACAGATAATACGTCAAGAAAAAAATGTTTTGGTGGTGGGTTTCGTGTCAACTTGACAGGGCTAACATTTAAGTCAACCCAACATCAATGAAAGTATTTTCTGGAATGGGTTCACTTGCCTGTTATCTGAGCAAGTGATGAGATGCGATACACTTCAATCATTCGAAGGTATGCGCAAACACCCTCCAGGTAAAAGAAAACTATTCCTGGTTATCTGATGATGCCTCATGAATTTGTTATGTCTTCGCACACAAACTGAAAGCAATTCCTGACTGCAAAATTGACATCTTTCTCTCTTCTGACCATCTTAATCAATCTCTCCATAGTTGTTTGCTCTTTTGTAAAGTCATAAAAACACATTTTTCCTTTTGCTATTGGGGCAAATGGGAAGGCAAAATGTGTATTTGTTGTGTTTTCTGTTGACCACTATAGAATTAAACCCAACTATGTAGTCTAAAAATAATGCAGGGTGGTTTTAATACAAATTTGGGTCAAATATGGACGAACCCAACCCAATTAAAAACAAAATTAATTTAAAAATGTAACCCAGTGGCTGGGTTTGTCCATATTTGACCCAAATTTGGGTTAAAACAACCCAACATGTTTTAGAGTGAGTGACTTCCCCTTCTGAAAACCCCTTTTTTTTAGGTCTACCAACCTTATTGAGGACGTCTCTCTGAGAGCCCAGGTACAGGTGTGGCAGGATTCGGGTCGGACCGATGTTGGCCACAGGTAAACAGGGCTGGGACAGGCTGAGAGGTACAATAGTGGCTGGTTTACTCTCACACAGGTCAGGGAAACAAGACGAGAAAGCTGCAAAGCCACCTGAAAGGGTACAGAGAAGAAGAGAACTGTTTTAAGACGAATAATATAATCTTATTTGATTCAGCAAACACATTTAGGGCGAACCAGCCATAATATGTATTACTCCCCTCGTGTGCATGTACATTGAGTCTCATTCACAAGTGGATTATTCGTATTTATACGCACAGGAGAACTTCTCACGGAAAAATTATGCCCGGAAAAATGTGTGTGGATTTTTCTAAATTAATGGATTTGGAATATTCTAAAGAGGTTGCCCAAACCATGTCCTAATAAGGGCTTTCCACACAATAATGAAATATACAGGTGAAACTCGAAACATTTGAAAATCGTGCAAAAGTTCATTTATTTCAGTAATTCAGCTTAAAAGGTGAAACTAATATATTCTATAGACTCATTACATGCAAAGTGAGATATTTCAAGCCTTTATTTGTTATAATTGTGATGGCTTGCAGCTTATGAAAACCCCAAATTCAAAATTAGAATATTGTGAAAAGGTTTTCATATTTGTAAGCCATAATCATCAAATTTATAACAAATAAAGGCTTGAAATATCTCACTTTGCATGTAATCAGTCTATATAATATATTAGTTTCGCATTCTGAGTTGAATTACTGGAATAAATGAACTTTTGCACGATATTAAAATTTTTCGAGTTTCACCATTTAAGATGAAATATGTATAAAAATGTGATTTTTGCATACATGTGATTTTAGTTGCTCCTACAAATTTTGAATAAAATTCAGAACGAAAGTTATTAATGATTCATGATTTGTTTGTGAAAATGTTATAGTGAATCAGACCCATTGTTCTCAGACACACACACACACACACACACACACACACACACACACACACACACACACACACACACACACACACACACACACACACACACACACACACACACACACACACACACACACACAGTTTGCTGTAAACTCAATCACCTACAGTAAGAATGGAATAATAGTACAATGAAGGGGGTTTCCAAACATCCTAACCGACTGATTTACACATGAACCCCAAACACAAACTCCACAGGGGCCGACAAGCCTTTCCGGCGCAGCAGAAATATCCTGTCATTTCAATTCCTCTTAAGCCACACAAGCATATCCAGAACACTTGGCGTACAGTAGATGACCCTCCACCAGGATGAAGAATACCGTGGTATATTTTTACACTCCCTGAACCAATGTTTACTTTTTCACTCAAGCAAACCATTTTGTAACCAACAAATATGGGTCTCCACTGCTGCTGGGATGCGAGAGCGGAGAAATCCCTCTTTGAAAAGGAAATGAGAAAAGCAATGGAGTGGTGAAAGCCGAGACGTGCCACTTTACAAGGCAGATCGTGTGTCAGTGTCTGATTCTCTGCTTCCTGAATGATCTCATCTTCCTCACAGTGGGAACGAGGCAGGCCACAGAAACACTGACACCCAACCAGAACTCAGAGGAAGCACACACACACACACACACACACACACACACACACACTTTTATTGTGAAAAATTCCAGTTTCTAAGCCTTAGAGAATGCTTTATGGATCCCTGAAAGTGATATTACTTGTTACAATTAACAAACAAATATAACCTAGAAAATAATTCTGGTTGTACTTTATTTTACAGTATTTGTACTTACTTACAGTTTACTTACCATAGAAAATACTGGGTTATGTAAGGTAACTGCATGGGTTAGGTTTAGATAGGTTAGTACCTATTACCCAGTTATTATAATTAATTACTGTAATCACTTTAAAAAATGTTAGGTTGTTTTAACACAATTTTGGGTCAAATATGGACAAACCCACCCGTTGGGTTAAATTTTTAAATTGCATTTTTTAACCAACGTTTGGGTTTGTCCATATTTGACCCAAAATTGTATTAAAACAACCCAGCATTTTTTTTTAGAGGATATGTAACAGGGCTGTAAAATAAAGTGCTACCATAATTAGTTTGTATTTAGAACATATTCAAATTTTAAATTCTAATTTTGAATCGCCCTTCTAAATATATCATAATAAATCATTCCAAAGCAACTTGACAGACGGGTTCACTCTATAACAAACACGTACGTAACACACATGCACGCCGATGAAATGACCTCAATATTTCTCTAATGAAGCCTCTTTTATTTGCTTTAGCCACAGATGACCTCAAATTCACAATGTGACTGTGTAATTCTTCAAATGAACATAAACATCACTCTGGGTGAGTGTTTGAGTTAGTCTGAGACACACACACACACACACACACATATGCAAATCAAGAGAATGAGTTTTAGTCTCTAAGTATATGTGTGTGAAGGTTGACACAAAGGCATATCTCGCATGTATGTATTCATCCATCAGTCCAGTCATTTACCGTCCATTCACACACTCACTAACCCAGTTCACTCTCTCATTCACAAAAGATAAAGAGTTCTGGACTTTTCAGCATGACATCATTCAGCAAAGCCATTAGATCTGTTGTGTGAGTCAAACCAAACAGACCCGTTTAAAAAACCCTTTCACATGAGTCACGAATGACATCATGACCCGGCTTGTCACGGAAAAAAAGTGCCAGAGTTACTCGAATTACAACGGCGTAACCTCAAGCCATTGACTCCATGATAAGAGTTTAACAAGCTACCAGGAAGTGTTTTTTTTTTAAATACTCACTCGGGTGAAGGTGAAGATTGTATAAAAGAGCAAGCTGAATATTCAAATCAGCAAAGGGCTTTGTTCAAAAGAGCGCCTGTTCCTTTAAGGCCCAGATCAAGGCCTGCCTGTTTCCAGCTATTAAAAGCAACCGCCAAGCAGGATGACATCATTCTCAACACGCGGGTGGCCAACAGGCCGTCTCTTCATACACACACACACACACACTCGCCATAGACGTAATGGTTTTTATACTGTCCAAACTGTATATTTTGTCCTCTTACAGTACTAACCCCTAACCACCTACCCATCACACACACACACACACACACACACACACACACACACACACACACACACACACACACACACACACACACAACCCCTAAACCTACCAATCACACAACTTTCTGCATTTTTACATTTTCAAAAAAACTCATTCTGTATGATTTATAAGCTTGTTTCCTCAATTTAGGTCCACAGTGACACGAGTCCCCATGAGTGTGTGTGCATTCAGGTTTAAGTCCCCACTGGGATCGAAAAACATGTACACACACACACACACACACACACACACACACACACACACACACACACACACGCGCGCGCGCGCCATAGACGTAATGGTTTTTATACTATCCAAACTGTATATTCTGTCCCCTTACAGTACTAACCCCTAAACCTACCCATCACACACACACACACACACACACACACACACAGCTTTGTTTTTGTGATATATGAGGACATTCCATAGGCGTAATGACTTTTATACTGGACAAACTGTATATTCTATCCCCCTACACTGCCCCTATCCCTAAACCTACCCATCACAGGAGACATGCTGCATTTTTACATTTAAAAAAAAACATTGTTTTTTATGTTTTTTAAGCTATTTGAAATATGAGGACTCATGCAATGTCCTCATATATCACGTGTAAGTTGTAATACCAGTGTAATATGCATGTCATTATACACATTTGTGTCCTCATATATCACAAAAACAAACACACACACACACACACACACACACACACACACACACACACACACAAACACACACACCCAACCCTTAAACCTACCTATCACACACACACACACACACACACACACACACACACACACACACACACACACACAACCCCTAAACCTACCAATCACACAACTTTCTGCATTTTTACATTTTCAAAAAAACTCATTCTGTATGATTTATAAGCTTGTTTCCTCAATTTAGGTCCTCAGTGACACGAGTCCCCATGAGTGTGTGTGCATTCAGGTTTAAGTCCCCACTGGGATCGAAAAACATGTAGTACACACACACACACACACACTCACTCCAGAAGTTGTGTCTGGCTGAACATGCTCTGACACGAGGTCGAACATCCAGGACTGATTATCTTTATCACATCACAGCCCAGCGGTTTCAGGCTCGCGGCTCACGCACAGAACACACATGTGAGAGGACACACACACACACACACACACACACTGAATCAGTGCAGACCTGGCTGGCTAACATTCCCAAAGCATGATGTCAGCGAGTCCCGAGGCTGTCGGACAGACGGGAGGAGCGAACCCATCATGACATGCGGCTCGCTGCGATCAAAACCACTAGTGTTAACAAATGATACATTTTGTTTTGCATAAATTGCAAAAACCTCAACGAGTGATTTATCAACTTAGTGGTGACTTCCACAAAAATATGTTTTGCTTTTCCTGAACATCTGGTTTGAAGCAACCAAGTGAAGTCACATTAATGTAGCACTTTATATAACGCAGATTGTGTCAAAGTAATACAGGATTGTGAAGGAAATTCAGCGGTAAAACAATGGTGTCGTTATTCAGCTCAAGTCAGTTCAGTGACCACAAATATTAAAGCTTCTGAATTTGGGATTTAGGAAAAAGCAGCACAGATCCCCCCTCTGGAGATCTCAATGATATCAGGCTCCCGAAATATCCTCGCATGGAGTTTCACTGACGGGAAAACTCAAAGCTTGAGTCAAATACGCCAGAGCAAACCTTTGGTTTTGTGCAGATTGCGTTATTTTTGAATCCAAACTTAAAAGGGATTCAAACCAAAGCAAACCAATGTGCATTATCTGCCAGAATATATAAGTGTGTGTGTGAGTGTGTGTGAGGGCTAAACAGAGATCTGTAGTATTTAGGGCCTTGTTTAGCAGGAGCTTACATAAAGCATGCTAAATGTGTTCATGGGGACGTGATACTGCAGCAAGTTCAGGCACACGGAGATTTATGGTATGACACAATGTCATATTTCAAATCTCGCAGTCATCAGGTTTCCATATTTCTGCTGTTGATGTCAGCGCATGATAGATCGAAGGCAATTACAATCTGCTGAAATAGTTTTGCAAATCTTCACCTGCAATGTGTTGGCGAACTCGAAATAAGAAACGTGAGAGAGGGAGTTGCAACACAACACAGTTCATCAAATAACACGTATGCAAGACCCACATTTATTTTTTTAAATACTGACAAATGTTAATATTAATAAAATATCAGTGAGAGACCTAAAAAAGGCAAAGTTTGTCTCCTCTTATATGTAAAAAACAAACAAAAAAAAACTCAAATCATGTGTTATGGTTTTATTTACATATTTGATGTAATATTCTTGACATTTATAATGTATTTATAATTATTTTATTTAAATTGTTAATAGATATAATTATTTTTGTCATATATAATTATTTAATTTTTAAAATAATTAATATTGATAATATTATATTATTTATTTATTCAAATAAGTATTGTTATATTACCTTTTTACTTTATAATTGATATATATATATATATATTCCTTGGGAAAGTAGCTCCTGTTTGCATTCACTTACAGTTTGCTCAATGAATGGCCATTTAAATGAAGTCAAAGATTGAAACTCATGACGGCATGCAACTAAAAATCCACTGACACCCTGAAGCAACTGTCATCGATGTCCAACATAAGGAGGATGAGGTCACTGACATGCAATAACATGAAGCGAACGGGAGACACACTTGCACACACACTGAAAACCACATGATGCATTCTCATCCACTCCCATAACTACACTAACAGAGTGGAAAAGTACAAATTCAAGGCAGATGAATCACAAATAACCAAAAAGCTGCATGCAAAATATCTAAATCCCAAGCACACACACTCTCCAAGCACACAGACTGTCCAAGCACACACACTCTCCAGCTCACCTCTCAGATCTCGCCCTTCTTTAATGCGCCTGACGCGCATCTTCAGCCTCATCTCGCTCTCGTGCATGTCTGTCAGTGGAGGAGGATCAGCACGGCCTCCAGGACACACGCACACCCTGCAGGAGATCTGCACTATCCGCCCGAGCTCAGACGAGCACTGATGTCAGAGGAGCCTTTGTGTTTCAGCGGCCGCGCGCTCTTTCCTCTCGTGCGCCTTCTCACTTCTGACTCTCCGAGCGAGCGCGCGCTCCTGCCTCTCTAATGTTGCGCCTCCTCTCTCTCTCTCTCTCTCTCTCTCTCTCTCTCTCTCTCTCTCTCTCTCTCTCTCTCTCTCTCTCTCTCTCTCTCTCTCTCTCTCTCTCTCTCTCTCTCTCTCTCTCTCTCTCTCTCTCTCTCTCTCTCTCTCTCCTGTGTTCAGTAATAGCTCATGTGTAAGGCATGCAACCACATTCCTGACTCATCAGACAACTATGCGGCCACCGATGGGGCCAGAGCCGCGCAGAGGGAAGTGTGTGTGTGTGCGTGTGTGTGCGTGTGTTTGTGTGTATCAAGTGTGTATGTGTGTGTTCATGTTTATATTACATTGTATGTAATATAAAATAAAATAATGACCCCACAAGTATAGTAAAACCTGAAATCACCTACATTGTGGGACCAGCCGGCGGTCCGAGGAAAACAGCGTATAAATCATACTACAGTAAGTAATGTTTTTTGAAAATGTAAAAATGCAGAAAGTTGTGTGTGATGGGCAGGTTTAGGGATAGGGGCAGTGTGTGTGTGTGTGTGTGTGTGTGTGTGTGATGGGTAGGTTTAGGGATAGGGGCAGTGTAAGGGGACATAATATACAGTTTGTACAGTATAAAAACCATTACGCCTATGGAGAGTCCCCACAAAGATGTGTGCGCCTGTTTGAGTGTGTGTGCTTGTGTGTGTGTGTTTGTGTGTGTGTGTGTGTGTGTGTTTGTGTGTATGTGTGTGTGTGTGTGTGTGTGTGTGTGTGTGTGTGTGTGTGTGTGTGTGTGTGTGTGTGTGTGTGTGTGTGTGTGTTTGTGTGTATGCATGCGTGTGTGTGTGTGTGTGTGTGTGTTTGTGTGTATGCATGTGTGTGTGTGTGTGTGTGTGTTTGTGTGTATCAACTGTGTGTGTGTGTGTGTGTGTTGGTGTTTGTGTGTATGCATGTGTGTGTTTGTGTGAATGTGTGTGTCTGTGTGTACGTTTGTGTGTGTGTGTGTACGTTTGTGTGTGTGTGTGTGTGTGTGTGCGTGTGTGTGTGTGTGTGTGTGTATGTGTGTGTCAATCAATCAACAGAAACTGTAGTTGCTTTCGCCCGATCTCTCTGCTTTCTAGGCTTCATCTTCATCATCATTGTTTATGTAATGGGCACATTATCACTCGCATGATCTGTGTGTCCTGTCACTGGGAAGTCCATGTTGACTCACAGCACTTCACACTCGGTTCAACAAAAGAACAGTTTGTCCTTGAATCAATCAGCGTTAATAACGGCTGACATCATCAATCATTAGCTGTAATCATCCACAGGCTCCTGAAATCATACAGGGATAGATGGAATCCATTATTTGTCCACTTCTCTAAGATGCATGCAGTGATAACACTGTGAATCTGCAGCACAAGGTGCACACAAAACGTCCATTTCCAATTATTAGTAATTAATCGTTCAAACTGACATCATGATTTGATAGATCTAATAGATTATGTCTTCAGATGCATATGCAAAGTGCTAACACCTAAAGATGCAATCACATTGGTGGAATTTATGCGAAGTTCAGCGTCAATCATTGGCTGTTATTCATTCTGAAATCATGATAGATTTAATATAGGCTATTATGCGCCCTTTTCTCTGACAGATGTAAACATACATTGGCCTGGTTTCACAGGGTTTAGATTAAGCTAGGCCTTAGTTCAGTTATTTAAGTAGCTTTTATAAACATTACTGGTGTGAAACAAATCTTGAGACAAAACAATGACACTGACATATTTAAGATATATCAGTGCAAGTTTATTTCAGTTAAAACAGCTCAAACATGCATTTTAGTCTGAGACTAGCTTAAGCCTGGTCTGTGGAACGGGGGCTAAAGTGCTAAACCTTCGTTAAACTGCAGCATGACGGTGCGATCACATTGGTGAAATTCCAGTATCACTGACGAAAATATATAAATTTTTAATCATTAGACATTAATCATTCGTACTGGGATAGAATGAATATGTCAATTTCTCTATGACAGATGCATATGTAAAGTTACTGTATGTGAAGTGCTAAAACATTCGTTAAACTGCAGCAAAACGGTGCGGTTACATTACATTAACGACATTTTAGCGAAGTTTCGCAGACAAAAAACATCTATTGCCAATCAGTGGCCATTAATCATCCATATATGGATACTGATGACAGGACAGATCGAAAACATTATGTTCATTTCTCTATGGTTCTGGTAATTTCTTAAGTAAATATACTTAAAGCGCTAAAACATTTGATCAAACTGTTACGGTAAGGTGACTTTGAGTGAACGACTCGAACCTGTTGGGGAAATCTTTCGCACAAATGTAAAATTCCTGATTGTGTGGATTCCTATAAAAATGACCAGATTTTGCCCCTTAAAAATTTGCCAAACAACAGTAAACTGGATCGCAACTTAAGGCAATTTACAAACAAATTAAAATGACAGTTCATCAAAGAATAAACATAATCTCATAATTTAATAACCCTCAAGTCTGACCACTTTATTTACAATGGGGGTCAATGGGGTCCAAAGTTGTTTGTTTACCAATGTTTTTCTAAATTTCGTATTTTGTGAGTATCTAAATGATGACAGAATAATAGAATAGAATAGAATAGAATAGAATAGTACAGATAAGAGTTGTTAGTTTGTTATTAAAGAAGATGCAGGTTCAGCTTTGCTTTGCTCCGTCCACATCTCTCTATCGGCTGCAATGCAGTGACATTTCTCAAGGTTGCCAGATCAGTGAAACTCGAGACAGCAAATTAGGACCCGACGGGTTCATGTACCAATTTTAATTGAGGGGCTTTTCGCTGACCGACCTGCACGTTTCTGTTCGTCCAAAGTTGTGTGTATGACTGCAGTGCTGTAAATAGTTGTGTGAGTAAGGTAGCTATTTCTGTACGGTGTGGTTCAGTGTCGAGGGAGAATATCTTTAATGCAGGAACAATGACACAAACTGCTGGATGACTGCATATTAACATAGCCCCTATAGACACACACACACACACACACACACACACACACACACACAATACATGCTGCCCAGCAACAGAGGACAATAATATAAAATTGTCACGTGAATAGTTTTTTCTTCCTTCCAAAACTAAATGTAGGACTCATAACGAGCACTAGATGGCAGTAGACCAACATCCCACGCACGCACACACACACACACACACACACACACACACACACACACACACATTCTTCCTAGCAACTGCTGGAGTCCTGGAGAATCTGGATCTGTGTTCGGAATAGGAAACTATCTTACTATATTCCTCACAGTACATGCTCTACACATTTTTATAGTAGAATGTGAAACAGAGTGTATAAGCAGAAATACACACTTCAAACCAAGACATCTGCTATACAGGAGAGAGTTATACAGATGCTGATGCATTTATGAAGCGTGTGAACTGTGTGCTGCCATCTTTGCTTCAAGGGCAGTTTTTGTGAGCTAATCACATGAGTTATTAATAACATCATAATTAACATCCACCTATTAAACATGTATAAATGTAAAATTTATAAAATCTTAAAATTAATATACATTTCCATTCAATATATTATAATGCTGTGATGCCTAAATTCACATTATTTGTATTGTATTTGTATCGAATTGTATTAATTACTAATTAAAGGGGCACTTGGCAACTCTAGCCATTTCTTCTCTGATTGTCACTTTTGTTGTCGCGTGTGTTCTCATCAGCGCCCCCTACAGCTGTGCGGAGTATATCTCACGAGAACGGGCGATGAGAACGGGCTGTTTATTATTATCGGAGCCGGCCAACTTTATCGTGTGGAGTTATGTCTACGGAGTGGGTAATACACCATACACAGTATCAAATATGTCGAATTGCCATAAAGAAGTTCGTGTTTCTCGCTCGTTCTCGCTTCTCATGAGATTTCCTATTTCCAACTTACCGGGACGTTAGTCCCCATGTTGCAAGGATGGTTTTCCGCCTGGGGACGCTCGGCTCGGGGAAAGCCACCATTCTCTCCAGAACAGGTTATTGAACCATTCAAATGATTTCTAAACGGTTTTATTAAGTTGAAATAGTTGCCGAGTGCCCCTTTGAGTTTTATATTTATTGAATATCAGAGTCCTTGTTGAATGCAATGCATTGCATGTGATGCACTCATACGGCACATGACAAATACAGTGAATTGGTTACATAAAATGTAGACGGTGTGTGGTTTCAGTGCAGTAGTCAGAGAATATCCTGAAGAGAGCTGAGATCAAACATGTGCAGATCTATTAGTTCACTGCACTGCAAATATACGCTTTAGCCTAAAGCGGGAGTCTTCAGGTGGGATGATCAGGTTCATTCCTCGGATGCAGGAGATGTGGGAAGAGAAGAGTGGAGGGGGAATAAATCTCTCAGTGAGATAACCTCGGTACATCTCCACATGCCTGTGCCAGACGCCGCCCACCAGCTCTGATGATTTAGTCTTCTAAAATATTACACGGATTTAGAAGAGAACGTCATAATTCCCAATACAGAGCATGCAATTTTCACAAGTCAGGAAATGGTGTGTGTGTGTGTAGCACATCTCTCCCTCCTCATAAGGCCATGGCACTCAGTGGTGTTTTTGCATGATATCAGCACACGGTAATGTCAGTTTCTACACTTCATCTAAATGACCAGCGCAGGTAAACCACCGCGCGTCCACAGAACTGGTTGTTAAGACTCTGGCAAACAAGCAATCAATATGTAATTCCAGCCGTGACGTGTCTCGCGTGTGTGTCCTGGCATGCCTCGACTGTGATGTAGGATCCCAGAGAAGAGGATCATCACACACACACACACACACTCTCTTGACCCACTGAAACCCCCGACAGCTGCAGGGTCTCTGACTCCAGAAGACATTTAGAGGGATTGACCTGTTGGGTCACTGGAAGCGCTGGGCTTTTACATGTCGGGCTCAGTCAGCGCTTGCTGAAGGATGTGCTCAT